AACTAATCTAACAATAAAGCTATAACACTAAAACTATCTAAACTACAATTTAAAACCCTAAATACTTCGATTTGGAGGCTAGAAAGTAGGCATGGTAAGACTTGGTCCAAGTCTCGAAGCTTTCCGGGTTTTGCTGCGGTTTTCCTGGCAATTAAGATAAGTATACCGTTGGATTATACTTGTTTTGGTTACTAATATACTTTAGCCGGGAGCTAAGTATGTCTTTTTCCAATAGTCAAGATCTGGCGGGTTTCAGTCTTTAATACAATTGTTAAGATTCTTAATAATTGTCACGTGTATCATGTGTAACCACGGCTGCGGTGATCGGTGGTTTAATATTCTTTACGTCACAGATAAGAATATCGAAGCTTAATTCGGATTAATGTCACGAGTAGATTTTAGCTGAGGTCGGAAATTGGATCTTCAATTGATCGATGGGGTCACGAGCTCCTGATGTCACGGGGAATTTGACCGATCGATGCAATTAATATGCAAAATGCGATTATTATACTAATTAGTGATAACAATGCGTCACGGGTAAGGTTAAGTATTTATATAAGAGGGTTCTAACTAATATTAAATTCTCTTTTCTTATTTTCTCTTAAGCGATTATGAATAATTTGGGGACAAGGTTTATGTCAAAATAGGAATTTAGAGTTAACACTTCTACTCGGATTTCGAAGGTTAAACTCTACTTGGACCAGTGTTTCAGCCTAAACCGAAAGTTTCGGCTGGGCAAAACTGGTAAAATCTCCGAAACCTAGTTTCGCCAAAGGCCTCAAAGCCGAAACCTCCGAAACTAGGCGAAACTGGGCGAAACTGCCAAAACTGGGCGAAACTTCCGAAACCTCCGAAACTGGGTGAAACTTCTGAAACTGATAAACACCAAGTTTCATATAAATGTTAGTTAGGAACTAAGATTCAAATTTGTGGAATAAAAAGGAGTGGGCTTTACCAGGAGAAACTTTATTTTTTGATTTTTTTAAGAATATGTACGTCTGTACCAGTGTTTCAGCTGGCTAAAACCTCTGAACATCTGATACTAGGCGAAAACTGGCTGAAACCTCTGAAATTGGGCGAAATCTCCGAAATTGGACAAAACTGCTGAAACCTCTGAAAATGGGCGAAACTGGCCGAAACCTCGAAAATTGGTGAACTTTCTGAAATATTCCGAGTAGAATATCAAAGAACATAAAATACGAGCAAGGTGGAGAGAAAAATAGAGGAAAGGTCCGAAATTTTCCGAAAGACAGAGAGGTTGGAAGGATGTTCAGAGGGTTTTGGAGGTTTCGCCCATTTCAGAGGTTTCACCCATTTCAGAAGTTTCACCCATTTTGGAGGTTTCAGATTTTAGGCAAAACCGAAACTCTAGGGGCGAAACATTTCGGACTTTGGGGGAGGTTTAGGGCGAAACACTGATCTGGACTATATGACGAAGTAATGGTATATTTTATAATATTGGGATAGCAACAAGGTTGAATGGACGATTTATTGAGAACAAAAGAGAAAAAGATAAGTACTTCTACTGTTTGATTTCGAAGTATAACTTAACTGATCTTTTATTAAGAAAGAAAAGCTCTCCTTATATAATTATTTTTACATATAGTGGAATTCTTCGAATCTACACTATTCTAACTATTTTCTTTATAACGAGAATAATTATTATTCTCGCTATCTTTAGGATTCCTACAATCTAGAGAATTCCCAGAATTCCTACAATTCGTACCACTTACGACTATCAAAGTGGAAATATCAAGGGGCAACAATATAAAAATGGAACTACTAAGGTCAATCTGCCCCTCACAACGTACAGTATGTATAGTGCGTATAGTGTATATAGCATGTGCAATATGTATAGTACACGTATGATATATAAACTATCTATATGCAAAATTTCGCAAGGAGTAATCTTACTTAGAATACAAAAGGCGGTTTCATAAGGTAACTTTTGAGATATGAATGGGTTTATAATTTGTTCTAGAATATTCTAAAATTTTTTTTGCGTACTGTACTATACGCGGCACATCACTAGTGACGAGATATCTTCGCTCAAAGTTTTAAAAAAACTCAAAACGTCTATCAAAAAAAAGCTGCGCCAAATTTTTTTTAAAACTTTGAGCGAAAATATCTCGACAATCACCAAGTCAAATTCGATGAACCTTTTTTTATTTACATTCTACAGATTCGTAGAATTCGAATAAAAAAAATTTCATCAAATTTGACTTGGTGGTCGACGAGATACCTTTGCTCAAAGTTAAGAAAACTCAAAATGTATTTCAAAACAAAGCTGCGCCAAATTTTTTTCAACCTTTGAGCGAAGATATCTCAACACCCACCAAGTCAAATTTGATGAATTTTTTTTTATTTGAATTCTACGAATCTGTAGAATACAACTAAAAAGATTTATTGAATTTGACTTGGTGGTTGTCAAGATATCTTCGTACAAAGTTTAAAAAAAGTGTTATTTTACAGGGGTACGAATAACAAAATTGGGGGGTACGTATATCAGCCGCCTATTTAAAATGCATTTATACCCAAATTTAAAAATTTGTATAAAGCTTTAGATTTGGTGTTTTTGTTACGTCCGCACCAATTTTTTGGAAGCTTCTTTGCTCGTTCAAAATCTTTAACGTCATCTACCATTTTTTGAATAGGTTTAAAGTTTGATTCAATGCTTCGAAGCTATTTTTTTTTGTTTGGGAAGATTGTTAGACTTTTCAAGATAATCAAGAGTCTAAAACATAAAATTAATAAAAAGATATTTATGTAAATTGGAAAATATGATACTAAATAATTAATTTTATACCTCTATTTTCTTAAAATTTCAGATTCGAATTTACTATATTCAGTACTCGATTCCTCGTATATTTGTTTTTCTGTATTTACAAGATCAATCGTTAAATTGACTTGTGTTTGGTTGATGATCGAATATTTTCCCATAAAGTTTCCTCAGCTGCCGTGATAAAAGGATATTGAGAATTTCATTGTACCTAATTTTTACCCAATTAAAAATAATATTAGACTTAGAAGTTTTTTTTTAATATATATATATAATAACAAACCTTCAAGAAAAATTATGCACCCATCTTCCCAAGAGGATTAATGGCCCCTTATTGCTTTACTTACTTTTAGCATCTTATATACCAATGATTTGTTTATGATATTTTTTATGGCAAAAACATCTCCCTTTTCACAGATCTTTACGATCTTAAGTGCTATTGAACTTAGTTTGAACCATATATATAATACTTTCTCCTTCAATATCCATAAGTTTCTCATAAACTATATGGGGTTATTTTAATAGAAACAGCCCATTTTTACATATATCATGTTTTGAGATAATTGAGTTTAATCATTTGTTTTGATTTTCAAATTTCGTTATTTTGATTGGTTAAAGGTAACATGTGGCTATCGGTAATCTCTGTTGGCTCTACGTAGCCTTTTGCAAATTTTCTTTTACATTTTTATTATGCGAATCAACTTTCATTTATAATTGAAAAATGTCAATCATATCAAAAATTGTATGAATCTAATGAAAACTCAATTTACAAAAAATCATAAAAATGGGCTGTTTTCTATTGAAATCACCCAATATATTCAAACTCTTCGGATTTTATAGCATTGTCACGGGTTTATGATTAAATCCGTACTAAACGCCTAAATAACCCGAGCCACAAGAATATTGTAAGGCTCCTAGGTCGTGGCTGAAGCTTAGATAAAATACCGATAAAATTGTGAATAGAATTGTGAGCAGAATTGTAAGCAATTAGAGATGGTGCAGTAGCTCTTAGTAAATTAAAAGGTAATTAAGGCATGAGTTTTCGCCTTGGGAAAGTTTCTTTAGACTATTCGTCTTAGATTATGGTCTTAGATTAGACTTGGTCTTAAATGACCTTCGATGTCTTAGAGTTTATAATAAGAATAAAATTCTCACATGTGTAGTATTAGCTTGTTAGTTTAGTTTTATTTCTTTTATTATTGTATTATTCTTTATTTTTATTATCATATTATTATTATTGTCTTGCATTTCTTATAGTATTGTACAACCCCGATAATTAAAGTTGATTGTTAAGTGATAAATAACCCCGACTCAGATTAAGAGCTTCGTGACATCATATCACGTATACAAGAGTTATAAATCCTGAATCAAGTTAACCATCGGAGCTAAATTGGATTAATATATGGTAACGGCATTTTCTTTTTGCATACAAATATCGTTTAAAATTTGATCCTACACGTTTTCTTTTTTTTTTGCTTTCATTTATGCGGTTTGAACATTCAATACAACTTTATTATTATTTTGAAATGCAGTATTAGGTTTTATAATTCTACAAGACGAACAATGTTGATTCGTTGAAAAATATTACAATATTAAAAGAAAAAATTCCATAAATTGTTATTTATTATTTTTATTATTATGCATTATTATTATTATCAACTGTCATTATTATTGTACGTATTTCATTAATTTTAATATTGGCAAATAAATTTAATATCTTTATTATTATGCATTATTATTATTATCAACTGTCATCATTATTGTACGTATTTCATTAATTTTAATATTGGCAAATAAATTTAATATCAAGATTTACGTAAGTACGTACTGTACGTACCTGATCTTGGTGGCGATACTAGGTGGGTCAAGATAAAACCGAGTCGAATTATAGTAATTGGTTCCGACCTCTAGCTCTAATCGATTATTAACACTAATTCTGGATTAGTTTTTGAAGAAATGGATTCAGTTGACTGTTCTTGCTGAGAAATGAATTCGGTTGACTATTCTTTCTGGGCTTTTATTACTTATTTAACTCTTTTTCAATACCTTTCATTCTAACTTTCAATTCTATAATTTGTTTATATCTCAACTTCATCAATGATACTCTTTTGCAACCTGTTAACTAATCCTGAAAAATCCGAAAAATCTACATTTATTCTTTTTGATTTATCCAAATATTTATTAATATTCCTTAATTTTTGGCAAATTTCTTCTAATTGAATTAATGCTTCATGTCCTTCTCATCCAGTTCTTCTATTTTAGAAGTGATAGAGTCAATAGCTGAACCGGCTAATGTTATGACACCACCAATTAAATCATAACCAATAGCGATAATACACCACCTACGTAATTGATTGCTGTTCCTAAACTAGCAGTATGCATTGTGCATGTATTTGCTATTTCATTCACTTTCATTACTGGTGACATTACTTTTTGGAGAACTGGATTATTCAATAGATCTTGATATTCTTCTAATTGCTTAGATGAGTTTTTTTAAATCATGTTGGATTTCCTCCAGATCTTTTTAAAATCCGAGTCCTTCTTTCCTTCCTGCTTAATTTCTTCCATCAGCTTAGCCATTTCTTCGATTTTTTTTGTTTAGATTTTAAATCCTCCTTAGTAACTTCTAATTTTTTTCTGTCTCTTTTAATCCTGTTTATCTCTTGATTAGCCTTAGTATCTTCTTCTTTTAATTGGGATTCTAGATTTCAAATTAACTCAGCTTGTAATTCGGATTTTTTATTTAGTATTTCATTACTTTTTCTAAAAGTTGGTTGCACTCCTTTACTACTTCTAAATAATATTCGCCATTATTTCTATATTTTTGTTGCTTTGGTTGGTCGGAAAATAATGAAAATATCTCGAATGTTTTCGCCAACTTTTCAGCCTGTAATTCAGATACATTCTTATCGGTTTCTTCCTCTTTGTAAACTATTAATTGTGCTGCGTATAGAGGTGCATAACTTTGCCGCAACGTGCCGTAACTATGGGTGTTCTCAAGCGCCTTAATCAATGGGTAAAAAGCGTCGGGAAATAAAATTTATTTAGCGGAAAATAGTTTAAATTAATCAAGAGTGTTTATCATTAAGATGAATATGCATAATTGATAAAGCTTATTACGTAAATATGACATTTTTATTAATAAAAAAGA